CTCAGCCGTAACAGGAACCAGCTCACTGGATGGAGAGCTGCTATCCTGCGAGGGGTAAAGCACCAGTGGGGCATTGTCATTTTCATCCACCACAACAAGATGGACGGTGACATTGGCGCTGAGAGGTGGTGACCCCGCATCAGAGGCACTCACCATGACCTCGATCTGCCTCACCTGCTCATAGTCCAGGGGCCGCAGCACAAACACATCCCCATTCTCAGAGTTCACAGAGATGCAGGAGCAGGGAGGGTGCTGTGTAGGGTGGGCTGGGATCAGGGAATAGGTCACCTTGGCATTCGGCCCCATGTCGGCATCTACAGCACTGACGGTCCCAACGAGCACTGTGGGAACATTATTCTCACGTACATACATGGTGTACGATGTCTGGTTGAACACAGGTGCATTGTCGTTCACATCAGAGATGTCCACTGTGAAGGTGTGGGTGGTTGTGAGAGGAGGTGATCCCGCGTCTGCTGCTGTGACTGTGAGGATGTATCGTGCCGTCTCCTCCCTGTCCAGTGCACTGACAGTCACAAGCTCAAAGTAATTCTTATAGGCCGGCCGCAGGGAGAATGACAGCTGATCCTCAAGGGCACAGGAGATCTTCCCATTGGAACCAGAATCCCGGTCCCTGACAGTAAAGAGGGCGACCACTGTCCCAGGCAATGCATTCTCAGGGATTGGACTGCTGAAGGAACTGACCACCACCTCTGGTGCATTGTCATTCACATCCACCACCTCCACCAACACTCTGCAAATTCCTGAGAGGCCCCCACCATCTGTGGCCCGCACACTGAGCTCATGATTCTCTGCTGTCTCAAAGTCCAAAGGCTTTGTGAGTTTAATTTCACCACTCCTGGTGTCAATCTCAAATGCTGAGTGGCTCTGTCCTCCTGCTTGGCTGATCTGATAGGAGATGTCCCCATTAACTCCTGCATCACGATCGGTTGCCACTACTCTGAGAACCACGGAGCCCTCTGGGGCATTTTCCAAAACCTGCCCAACATAAATCTCCTGCAAAAAGGCTGGAGCGTTGTCATTTACATCTAGAATGACAACATGGATTTGGGTGGTTCCACTCCTGGGTGGAGAGCCCCCATCCACGGCAATGAGACTGAAATCCATCTCTGCCTTCTCCTCCCTGTCGAGTGGCTTTTCCAGGACCAACTCCACATACTTCTTGCCCTTAACTTGACTCCCCAAATCAATACCAAAGTACTTGCTCTCAGGAGCAATGCTGTAAGCCTGGATGCTGTTGCTGCCAACATCCAGGTCCTGAGCCACCTCCAAAGGGAAACGAGAGCCAGGGTTGCTCGTTTCCAGTATCTTAAGAGTGACCCGTTCCTCCGGGAAAACGGGTGCGTGGTCATTGATGTCCTCCACGCCCACCTCCACCCGAAAGAACTGCACGGGGTTTGCCAACAGGAGCTCGAAGGGCAGAGTGCAGGTAGCGGACTGGCCGCACAGCTCCTCGCGGTCCAGCCTCTCGGCCACGACGAGGCGGCCGGTGCCCGGCTCTAAGCGAAGGTGCTGCCGGCCGTCCTCCGAGAGCAGGCGGGCGCGGCGAGCCGAGAGCTGCGCCGGGGCCAGCCCCGCGTCCTCCGCTACGTTGGCTACCACGGAGCCGCTCTCGCTCTCCTCGGCTACGGAGTAGCGGATGGGCTCGGCGCGAGCGTGCGGCAGGGAGAGCAAAGCACAGAGAGAGAGCACTTGCCTTGCGGTCGCCATGGCGGAGCCGCGAACAGCCTCCGAGTCGGGGATGGCCCGCTCAATCCTCTGCGGCAAGCAGAGCCTGGCTGCAGCGCGGCCGGCGTGCGCCCTTCCTCTGTCCGACTCCGGTTGGCGGCCCGGAGCGCTGCCGCCGTGTCCCGGCAGCCGGTGGCGCGGAAAAACGCTCTCCGCCGGCTGCCCACCTCTGCTCAGCTCTGCTGTGTTCGACTCGTCTGCTTTGGGCTAGGCAGAGCCAGGGTGGGCTCCTCCGGCTCCCCTCCCAAAGCCTCTGCGCATCGCCTTGGCCGGCAGCACCACCCTGCGGCCCGAGACGGGACTGCGCCCGTCTCCGCCCGCTGCCCGCCCTGTCGGCTTGCCCCAGCACACGGACCCGTGCGCACATAGGCGACTGTCGGGCGCTCACCCACATTGGGACCCCGCGGCAGGATGCTCGAACACCGCGCAGGGGACAGCAGAGCCGGTCAGGAGAGCCGAGAGCCCTGTGGGGCCGCCGCTCATCCCTAAGACTCTGGGCATCACCGGCAGCTGCCCCGCGGGTTCCTCCGCTGTACAGAGTCCTCTGGCGACGTCCCAGTGGAGACCAGTGCACAGCCAGGCTGCCCCAAGGCTGAATCCGGACACGCAGGAGTAGGGCAGAATTGGCTCAAGGCGGGGGAGAAGCCATCCAGTGGGATGATGCCAAGGGTGGCGGTGCTTGCAAAGGCACGGGAAGTGCCTGCGCCCAGGACAGCATGCTCACCACAATGCTTCCTAAAGGGAGTCTTCGACGAGCCCGCAGGAATGCTCAGCAGTACTTGCAGGTGCTCAAGTCCTGGAGAGTCCTTCTCTCGGGTAGAAACTGTTACATCTTGTAGTTGTGCACTGCATCAGACACCTGTCCCATCCAGCTGGAATGACCCGAGAAGCAGTCGGTTTAGGTGGTGCTGCTTCCTTGTGATCTCTGGAGGAGAGACACTCCTACCTTCTCAAATGTCTTTCACAACTCCGTTTCTTACAGGTGTTCTTTGGAGGAGATTAGTATCCATAAGCCTATGTCTGTTTGGATGTGGAGAACCCTGAGCAGAGTAGCTTCAGGCAGGACTCCAGCCAGGCACTGCATGCCTGACAGACCCCACTTAGGGAAAAGAGTACTCCCTTGCCAGTCCTTCAAGCCAGTTTAGAGCTTTCCTGCCAGAGAGCAGCAACTTTTCCACTGTCCCAAGAAGTTCTATGTGGACTTACTGATCACAGGTGGCTTTCTCACCAGTAGCAAGTGGGTGTTCACTATAGGTTCCTTACTTAAAATGAGCTGAATTTCTTCTGCTGCTAAAGGATTTGTGCAATACAACACAGCACAGGATAGCCAAGGCTCATGCCTGAAACAAAATTGTAGCTAGGTTGGAGTTGGTCTCGTAAGTACAGAATGTGAATGGTCTCAATTTGTGCCAGGAAGGTCTAGATTGGATGTTAGATTTCTTCACCAAATGGGTTTGCAAATGCTTCCGAGGGAAGTGGTTGAATCATCATCCCTGGACATGGCACTTTGGGGCATGGTTTTGTGGTGTCTTTGGCAGTGTTAATCATTGGACTTGATTTTCAGGGATTCTTACCAACTCATTCTGTTTCACTCAGGGTGATTGAATAGTGGAGCCATGCAGAAGGGGTGGCTGTAGTCCTCTGCATGTCATAGAATCACAGAATCCTCAAATGGTTTTGTTTGGAAGGGTCTTTAAAGATCATTTAGTTCCAACCTGCCCTGCAATGGACACAAAGGGACACATTCCACTAGAAAAGTTCCACAAAGCCCCATCCAACCTGACCATACATGGGACATCCATCACTTCTCTGGGTAACCTGTTCCAATGCCTTACCAATCCTACAAGGAAGAACATAATATCTAATGTAAAGCCATATCCACTTGTCCTATCACTACATGAACTTGTACAGGCCCTTTAGGAAGGCTGCTCTAAAGCCTCCTTGAGCCTTCTGTTGTCCAGGCTGGACAACTCCAGCTCTCTCAGGGTTTCCTCATAAGAGAATTGCTCCAGCCATCTAATCATCTTTGTGGCCCTTGTCTGGAGTCAATCCAACTCACTCCAACAGATCCATGTCCTACCTTGGAAGCACACATTGGGTCAAGTTAATTTTGCATCAAGCAAGACAACTTGTCACTTGGACATCGAGTCATTAACCACATCTTTGAGTGCAATTATCCTTCCAATTCCATATCCATTCCAAGTAGATACATCATATAAATACTTCTCCAATTTAAGAAGGGTGTTATGTGGGACAGTCAAGCCTTTGCCCAAGTCCAAGTAGATGACAGCATTCGGTCTTCCCTTATGGAGCAGTGTCATAACCCTATTGTGGAAGGCCATCAAATTGTTCAGGGATGCTAGTGAGGCCATGTCTGCAGGCACCAATCATATCCTTGACATCCCATGAGCCTTTGCATGCATTCCAGGGAGATCTGGTCCATGATCTTGCTGGGCAATGAGGTGACTTGTAGTTTCCTTGCTTTTTCCCTTTGTAAATATCGGGGTTATGTCTCCCATTTTTCTGTCACTGGGATCCTCTGACTGCCATGACTTCTGAAACAGGATGGATAATATATTTATTGCATCTCTTCAAGTCCCATGTATTTCTGCAGCTTTATGTTCCTTTAGTTGGTCTCAAACCTGATCATCTCTACAGTGGGTTGTCATCATTCTCCCAGTCCATTACTTGCCCTTCGTGGCTTGATCATTGATGCTAGAGCACTTGCCAGTGAAGGCTGAGACATTTCTGTAGAGAAGCCTCTCCCTGGTCACTGTTTTTGCTCACCAAATGCCCACCTCATGGAGTTCCCACAAACACCATAAACACTTCCAAAAGAACAGGGATGCCATCTTTGTGACATCCATCTTCTGAAACTCCACTTTCAGTGGCACACTTTGTTCTGGAAAGCCTCACAGTTGCCATCTGCAGAAGTCAGGAGAGTAGGGCAGGTCACTCTCCCCACCTCCCTGCTTTGCAGACGTCAAAGCAAACCCAGGGTCTCTGGGAAGGAGGGGGCCTGGTATTCTTGATCTGCATATAACAGCAACAGTACCGAGACGACCTGTAGAGGGATGCCAGCAATTCCCTGCTCATAACTTTCTGAAGGCTCTACTGGCAACATCTCCCAACTCAAGAATTGTACCCACTCAACCTTAACTTGGCCAAGGGACAACACGGAAAAAACACTCCTGGCCCTTTGGAAACTGTGACAGAACTTTCACAGGAAGGACAGCCCTACAGATGTGACTGGCTCCACACAAAGCATTGAAGTGTTCTCTTTATTTTGCTTTTACACACAAGGGTCTCCCATGTTACAACAGCTCAGCTTATAACTGCAGCACAACACAGCATGAGGGTTTCCCAATATCCCTTGTCATGCTGTTTTCTTTTAAATAATCTTTTCTAAATTACATGTGGGAGTGACATTCCTCCTTAAGAGGAAGAGGCGAGACAATCTTCAAATGTAGTCACAGAGCAGAGGGAGAAAAGATAGAAAGGACAATGCAAATGCTCTAAAACACAGAAAATCATAGCATAACAGCTTTCCACTCCCATCAAGAAACCTCTGAATCCAGGAACAACAATGACGATACCAAACTCAGAGTTCATTTTCAGATTTGATCTTGATGCTACCTTCAGAAAAAGTTCCTTAAAGCAACTTGTGAAGTTTTCTTACAATCTTCCTTAAGGAATGTTCTCATAACTCTGTATGGTTACAGTCTACTAGAAGGCAATTCCACTGTGCCAGAAGTCAAGCACGGGGGGCAGAAAATCAGCTTGACCAAACAGGGAAATCCTTGTGGAGTTCCAAAGGAAAAAGAAATTGTTCTGCTGCTCTCCGCTAGAGACTATGAGAGTTTTCTACTAAAAAACCCAAAATATCTTTCTTCATGCTGGGCTGGAATTTCAATGGCTGGATGGGAGCATCTGCCTACTTTGATGTGTAGCCCTTGTGCAGCATAAGCAGACACAGCTGTACGCACAGACACAGTGACCAGAAGGAAAAAAATAGAGAGCCCACCCATCTCAGAGACATGCAGAGAAGAAAGAGCCCTATGATCATACACTGTCACACAGTACTCACAATGTCCTTGCTTTCCTGACACACGCATTTGAGTGAAGTTGTGGTTTGTCTACCCCACCACGCCATTGTGTTACAGCACAAAGGAATTGGTCCAAAGTGTTGCCTGCCAGCAACTGAGACAAGAATTTGCCTGGGGTCCTGGCACTAATCCTAATCTGAAAGCAATTCAGACATGGCTGCACAGAGCAGAAACATGCGATTTCTTGAGAGACCTTTAGTTTCTTTTGTTGGATTTGTACTTTTTTTGTTTGCTTGGGGTTTTTGGGGAGGTGAAGTCAGTATTATTTGTCACATTGTCTTCATGGGAAGTCACTGATGTCAACTGTAAATACAGATTTACTCTGGAGGTCACATTGCCACATATCTTAGCATGGATCCCTTCCTGTCATGAAACACGAAACCTCTTTGCCAACACCATGCTAGTTAAAGGAAAGACTATTGAACTGCTCTGCAGAAAGCATCCCAGGGTTGTCTGGTGCCGCGTCCTCTGCAGTGAGAGTGCCACAGAGGAAACTTTGCTCATTGTTTGTAACCCCACCAGTGGCATGGAGCTGTGGTGGCAGGCTGGGGAGGATGGGCTTCAGGAACTTGAACTCACTGTTGCCAGAGCCCGTTGTGAGGCTGATCTCATAGCAATAGGCATGGGGCAGGGTCCCTGCAGCAGCCCCATCAGCCAGGCTGCTCTGCAAGTTGCTGGCACCATAAAGCACATGCCCATTCTTCAGTTCCTTTCTCTTGCACACCTTCTGAGTGATGAAGGCTGCTGTGGACACAAGGAAGAGGAGAGAGACAAAAACCAAAGAAATAATTAAATAGATTGTCAGGGAGCTGCCCTCATCCTCTGTGGTCAGGCTGCTGTGTGGTAGGCGCATGTCCGAGAAGTCACTGAGCAGGAGTGCACTCATTGCCGCAGTGGCTGACAGTGGTGGCTGCCCATTGTCTCTCACCAGTACGACGAGCTTCTGCTTCACAGCATCTCTCTCTGTCACCGATCTCCTCAGTCGCACCTCCCCACTTTGAGCACCCACCACAAACAGTCCAGGATCAGTAGCCCTCAGCAGGTGGTAGGAGAGCCACGAGTTCTGCCCCGAGTCAGCGTCAACAGCCACCACTTTGGTGATGAGGTAGCCTGCCTCAGCCGTAACAGGAACCAGCTCACTGGATGGAGAGCTGCTGTCCTGTAAGGGGTAAAGCACCAGTGGAGCATTGTCATTCTCGTCTACCACAACAAGGCAGATGGTGACATTGGTGCTGAGAGGTGGTGACCCTGCATCAGAGGCACTCACCATGACCTCAATCTGCCTCACCTGCTCATAGTCCAGGGGCCGCAGCACAAACACATCCCCATTCTCAGAGTTCACAGAGATGCAGGAGCAGGGAGGGTGCTGTGTAAGGTGGGCTGGGATCAGGGAATAGGTCACCTTGGCATTAGGCCCCATGTCGGCATCTACAGCACTGACGGTCCCAACGAGCACTGTGGGAACATTATTCTCACGCACATACATGGTGTACGATGTCTGGTTGAACACAGGTGCATTGTCATTCACATCAGAGATGTCCACTGTGAAGGTGTGGGTGGTTGTGAGAGAAGGTGACCCCGCGTCTGTTGCTGTGACTGTGAGGATGTATCGTGCCCTCTCCTCCCTGTCCAGTGCACTGACAGTCACAAGCTCAAAGTAATTCTTATAGGCTGGCCGCAGGGAGAATGACAGTTGGTCGTCAAGGGCACAGGAGATCTTCCCATTGACACCAGAATCATCATCTTTAACAGTAAAGAGGGCAACCACTGTCCCAGGCAATGCGTCCTCAGGGATGGGGCTGCTGAAGGAATTGACCACCAGCTCCGGTGCATTGTCATTCACATCCACCACTTCCACCAACACTCTGCAAATTCCGGAGAGGCCCCCACCATCTGTGGCCCGCACTCTAAACTCATAATTCTTTGCTGCCTCAAAGTCCAGAGACTTTGTGAGTTGAATTTCACCACTTATGCGGTCAACCACAAAAACTGAGTGGCTCTGGTCTCCTGCTTGGCTGATCTGATAAGAGATGTCCCCATTAACTCCTGCATCCAGATCAGTTGCCACTACTCTGAGAACCACAGAGCCCTGTGGGGCATTTTCCAAAACCTGTGCAATGAAAACCTTCCTGTGTGAATATGGGAGCGTTGTCATTTACGTCTAGAATGACAACATGGATTTGGGTGGTCCCAGTCCTAGGTGGAGAGCCCCCATCTATGGCAATGAGACTGAAATCCATCTCTGCCTTCTCCTCCCTGTCGAGTGGCTTTTCCAAAACAAGTTCAATGTATTTGGCATCCTCAGTTTGAGTTCCAAAATCAGTACTGAAGTATTCATTCTCAGGAGCAATGCTGTAAGCCTGGATGCTGTTGCTGCCAACATCCAGGTCCTGAGCCACCTCCAAAGGGAAACGAGAGCCAGGGTTGCTCGTTTCCACTATCTTAAGAGTGACCCGTTCCTCCGGGAAAACGGGCGCGTGGTCATTGATGTCCTCCACGCCCACCTCCACCCGAAAGAACTGCACGGGGTTTGCCAACAGGAGCTCGAAGGGCAGAGTGCAGGTAGCGGACTGGCCGCACAGCTCCTCGCGGTCCAGCCTCTCGGCCACGACGAGGCGGCCGGTGCCCGGCTCTAAGCGAAGGTGCTGCCGGCCGTCCTCCGAGAGCAGGCGGGCGCGGCGAGCCGAGAGCTGCGCCGGGGCCAGCCCCGCGTCCTCCGCTACGTTGGCTACCACGGATCCGCTCTCGCTCTCCTCGGCTACGGAGTAGCGGATGGGCTCGGCGCGAGCGTGCGGCAGGGAGAGGAAAGCACAGAGAGAGAGCACTTGCCTTGCGGTCGCCATGGCGGGGGGGCGGACAGCCTCCGTGTCGGGGATCACCCGTGCAGTCGTCTGCGGTAAGCGGTGCCCGGCAGCAGCTAGCCGGAACGGTGGGCGTGCGCCCTTCCTCTGTCCGAGTCCGGCTGGCGGCCCGGAGCGCTGCCGCCGTGTCTCGGCAGCGGGTGGTACGGGAACCTGATCGCTCCCGCTGCCCAGCTCGGCTCTGCCGGGCTGAGTTCTGCTCTGCTCTGCTGGGTTGGGGAGAGCCAGGGTGGGCTCTGCCACATCCTCTCACAGCTGCTCTCCGTCGCCTTGGCCGGCAGCACCACCCTGCGGCCCGAGACGGGACTGCGTCCGTCGGCGCCCGCTGTTCGCGGTGTCGGCTCTTCCCACACACGGACTCGTGCGCACACAGGCGGCTGCCCGTCTCTCACCTGCATTGGGGGCCCGCGGCGGGATGCGCGCACACCGTGTCGGGGACGGCAGAGCCGGTCAGAGGGGCCGAGAGCCCTGCGGGACAGCCGCTTATCCCTAGGGCTCTGGGCATCGCCGGCACCTGCCCCGCGGTTTCTCTCGCTGCCCAGAGCCCGCCGCTGGAGACGTCCCGTAGGCGAGCCGTGCAAAGCGTGGCCGCCCCAAAGGTGAGGTCGGACCCTCAGAAGCGGGACAGAGCTGTCGGGAGAGGGGAAAATCCGTCCAACGGGCCGATGCCGAAGGTGGTTGTGCTTGCAGAGGCACGGGAAGTGCCTGCCCCCAGAATAGTCTCTCTGACCGCTCCTGCCCGCCGCAATGCTTCTTAAAGGGCGTTGTTGCTTGTTAAAGGGCGCCTTCGAGTAGCCCTTGGGAATGCTGTTTTCTCACCAGTAGCAAGTGAGTGCTGCCTACAGGTTCCTCACTTAAAATGAGCAGAATTTCTTCCACCAAAGGAATTGTGCAACAGAACACAGCAGATGACAGCCAAGGTCAATACCTGAAAGGATCTTGTAGCAGTTTCAGGAGATATCGTCTCCCACGTCAGAAGTAATAGAACATGAGGAAATGGCTCCATTTTGTGTCAGGGAAGTTTAGCTTTGCATCAACCACCATCACTTGTCAGACATTGAGCCGTTAACCACAAATCTTTGAGTGCAATCATCCTTGCAATTCCTTATGCACCAAGTTGCCCATCCATCATATAAGTATCTCTCCAGTTTAGGCAGGATGTCATTTGGACAGTGTCAAATCTTTGCACAAGTCCAGGTAAGTGACTCTTCCCTTATCCAGCAGTGCCATAACCCCATTGTACAAGGCAGGAACATGAGGCCCTGGTGACAAATCTTATTTTACATGAGCTTTTCCATGCTTTCCAGGGAATATGCTCCATGATCTTTCTTTGCATCAAGGTGAGACTGATGAGCCTGTAGTTCTCTTTTTTCCATTTGTAAAAACTGGGGTTATATTTCTGATTTTTCCAGTCACTATGAACTTCACCCAACTGCAAGGAATTCTGAAACATGATGGATAGTGGCTTGGCCACATGCATCTCTTCAGGTCCCATGAATTACTGCATCTTCATGTTCCTTTAGATGGTCTCAAACCTGATCTTCTATAGCAGGTTGTTCATCATTATCGGAGTCCATGACTTGCCCTTAGTGATTTGGACATTGATTCTGGAGCACTTGCCAGTGAAGACTGAGACACTTCTGGAGAGAAGCCTCTCCCTGGTTGCTAATTTTGCTCACCAAAAGCCCACCTCCTGGAGCTCCACCAAACACTTTCAAAGCAACGGGGATGCCATCTTTGTGACATTCATCTTCTGAAACTACTACACCTTTAGTGTCACACTTTATGCTGGAGAGCCTCACATTTGCTATCTGCAGCTGGAGCTGTCAGAAGAGTTGGGAAGGCCACTCTCTTAATATTGATTCAGAGAAAACTCCAGGAACAAACTTGCCAGCAAAGTTTTCAAGCTGACAAGCAGGTATTCTTTATTGCAGCGCCGGGAGACACGGGGGATAGCTCCTCCTAACGTGTGTCTCACAATTGCCACACAAGCCGTCCTTTTATAGCCTCTGGGCATACATACATATTCATGAGGCTACGTATGGATTACATCATTTTCCAGAGAGTTCCCCGCATGCGTACAGAATTGTGGTGGTGGTCTCTGAGGGTCGGTTACTTCTTCCAACAATCTTCATCACTTCTGGCAGCCTTTGAAGCACGCGCAGTAGATGCTCATACCAGTTTAATTGGTTCATTAGCACCAGAGATAATAATCCTCCTATCCTCCTACTCATCAGTTAGTTTAACTGTAGCCCATCCTGGACACCTGCGGTTCCCAGATACTCCTTATCCCTGTGTCCTGTTCTTATCCCTGTGTCCTGTTCTTCTAGACTGTTTTTTCTTAAAACTATGTCACAACTATAACGATTTATCTTGTGAGAATTCTCAGTATGTTCTCTAGCTGCACTCTATATATTTTTTTTCTCTATGTATCACGCACCTCAGTAATTTTCCATTGCTACTGTTACAAAGCCTTCAAACTTAACATTACTTAAAATTAATTCTAAAGGTTTCTATATTC